TCCCTGCCCCGGAGGAATGAGGGGCCTAATTAACCCGCAGCGGAATCGAACTAGCATTATGCTCGTGATGACGAACATCACTATCACTGCGCAATCGACTCCCTGGATGTCAAGTTATGATTTCTATTTCAAATTTGCGGTGTCTTTTGACTATGAATATTATCCTTACAAAAACACAATACAATACAACGCACACATGAGTCGTCAACCACATGCGACTATAATCAGCTGTTCTAAACTTCCTCATTGGAAGTCACGAAAAAGCGGCTCTGAAGAAGGCGATACTGCCGAAACGTCAGCTAGCGCTGTATTCTATTGTGTTTTTTATGGAAGTAAATATATGCTGTTTAAAAACCTCGCGATTGCTGAACAAGAAAACGGCACATTCATATTCCAATGCCGAGGTTAAGAGAAAGTCGATCGTGGGAACTATTATCCTTACATGTCAAGCGCAATTCACCGTGCCTCCCATTTTTCCTCTTGGAATAATGGACTTCTAGAAGCCCTAAGTTCTATTTCTACACATAGGTAATAGGCTGATACATTACAACAACTATTAAGAAATTCTAAACGGTTTTTTCGATCATGCAACCAAGTCGATGTTCTTAATTAAAGTCTCTTTAGAAACTACTGATTCGCTATGTGCTAGCTAATGCAATACCCACTGCTACATAATTAAAGGTGGGAAACCATCAACACCCATCGTGCATAAAAAGACACCTCGCTTTGTGAAGTTCTCCATTTGAGCGCTCCTCCTTTCACCGGATTCGACTCGATGCGACCACGAACATCCACGTCGTGACAACGACAAGTTGTAGATCATCGACTCGGATCAATCCGGCTCTGAAGAAGACGAAGACGTCGAAGCTTCAGCCGAATAATCTTTTTATCAACCTCATGTTTGCTTAGTAAGAAGGTATTACAATCAAATTGTCCGAAAATACAATGTCACCGCTGCTAGTACGGTAAACGAGAAATATTCACGGATCCCTGCCCTTCTTCCATTTGATCCATTTCTTCGGATTCACCATCCAGGAGGGTCATCCAACCCTTGCGTGTGGGTTCTGTTGCTGCTTGGCGAGTTCTTTTTCGGCATGAACCACAATGAATGCTGGTCGAGTCGGTTCTCTCTCGAATTCGGTAATAGCAGTCCTAGGGCGTTGCTACATCTATTGGGATGAGTGCCGTGATCTCAAGCAATCATAATGCCAATTTCGCGACCTCGGAGTGATGGGAGGCTTGGTGACTCATGGGTACGATCGAGCCAGTACGGTGTTCGTGATTAACAGAATAACTACAACTGTACTGCCTGCCCATCGGTCATCGAGGGCGCTTTTCTCTTTTTTTGATTTATTACCTTTTAAAAATAGTTTTATTGTCGTTTTTTTTGCTCTATGTGAAGTGGAGAACAAGGAAGGCATTCTACGAAGCCCATGCTATCAGTCAATGTTTTTGTTTACTTGCTGAAACATGCGTTTGATGTTGATAATGACTTATTCCTTCCAATTTTAGTAAGTTTCATTTACGTATATATCTATGCCGAAGTGAGGACATCAGGTTGAATAGCAGAAGAAAATGAGTCGAAGTGTATATTTTCAACCGAAAGGCGGTGGTGGCGGCGGTGGTAGAATTGACGGGTAAGTCCTACATGAATTCGATCACTTTCGATGCTGTTATTTATGCTTCGGACTATCCTATTCACTGCTGTCTCCAATACATAACTAACGCTCTGAAGTGTCATTTTCTTTAAGATTTTCCTTCTGGGATCCGTTTATGTAATGGTTGATAAAATGATTATGAATTTTTGAAATAATGTCAACATTTCTGTTTTGCTATGGCTTTTCTGGAAGTCTGGCCTTTAAATTCTTTTATCTTCATTGTTCTTCATCGAGATGCATAGGAGCCGCGATTACTACCGGATGGGCACCTCAGGGAGTGTTTGAAAAGGATAATTGATTTTGTGTTAGAGTGCAGCTTGAACCACTACCAGCGGCGATGCGGACACTTATCACTGGTTGAGTACTCGTTGAAATCTCTTGTTCTATAGCCCACTAAAAAGTCATTAGTAGAAGTTTCATAGATAGATATCTGATTCTATGGGAAGCTTCGTGGCTTTATATTCATTCTTTTGCGTGCTCATCGACCGCTAAACACGAAATTGCAGGAGCAATGCCATAGTTCTCAAAATCACAGCGAGCTTTGCTTGAGATCTCATTTATACGAATTATTCACATAAATGCTGAGATTTCGCTTGTAAAAAGCTACACTAATATGATGACTTTACAATAATAGGGATAATCTGTTAGACAACTTATAACTTTTTATCTAGTTACTATTTCAGAGGCCCCACAAGTTGTTATTTCACCCCTGGCGGGGGAGGCGCGTATGGTGGAAGTGGAAGTGGAGGTGGAGCTCCAAGGTGCGCACAAGATCTCTTTCGTGTTTCGAAGGCTCAGCAGTTGATTGAAGGTTTTTCTTCGATCGTAAAAATTCATTTTTATAGAGGAGGTCAATACAGTGGTGGTGGTGCTGGTGGCGGTAGTGGTGGTGGTAGTGACGGTGGCGGAGCTCGAAGTGCCTACTTCGGAGTCGGAGGAAGCACTTCTGACGGAGGCGCCCGTAGTGCATATTTCAGCGTTGGAGGAGGCAGCAGCGGTGGCAGCAGTGGAGGTGGCGGTGGATTCTCCTCGTGAGCTTACTGTTCTTCTATTTTGTATGACTGTAGAAAATTTTGATGGCAAATAATGTATTGAGAACTGATAAATTTTAGTGCTAGCGCTGGCCGCGACAGTGGACGTATTAGTGGTAGTGGTGGCGGTAGCGACGGTGGTGGGGCTCGAAGCGCCTACTTCGGAGTTGGAGGAGGTGCTTCTGACGGAGGCGCTCGAAGCGCCTACTTCGGAGTTGGGGGTGGTGGCGGTGAATCATCTGGGTTAGTCAGCCAGCATAAATACTCTCCTTTGAAAATAACTGCATCCAGTATATAGTGTGTCTGTGGGCTGATTTATTTCAGATCTGCAGCGCGCGGCGGTTCTGGAGAACGTCGCAGTAGCGGTTATGGGGGTGGCGGTGGTAATGATGGTGGCGGCGCTCGTAGCGCCTACTTTGGAGTCGGAAGAGACGGTGGTCCTGACGTAGGGTTAGTTGCCGTCTAGGAATAGAGGAACATTTTTAAATAATAAGACATCCTGCGGAATAGCAAACGCTTTTGCTTGAAGCCAGCATGCAATTATTTCGCACAAATTCTGCATGTGGTCTTCCATTTTTCGCGGATGACTTAGGATAAAGTGAAGCTTAAAATTTCCATTAAGAAAGCCAAATATCTAAACCACGAAACCTAAATGCCTAAAAAGAAAATTTTATCCTTGAAACCTATTTTCAGGAGCCTTGCAAATCTGTACATTTAAAGTTTTTCTTGGCGGGTTTCCATGCTAAGTCGAAAATCACCGACGGAAAGACCGCTTTGCCCTTACAACTACTGCTATGAAGAGGCAGCAGCTGTTGACGTATAATCAGAGGGCACATGTAGCTCATTGGTTATATGACACTACACAGGCACATAATGCCCTCCATCCTTCAAGTCGACTAATTTATAGAAAATTTGGGTGGAAAGAGAAAATCAGCGACTTGTTGGATGTGGGGACCCGCAAAGCAATTTATAAGCCGAATGTGCATTCATTCACCCAACAATACTTAGTCTAAGCGGATGTTTGGAGCATCTTTGAAGGAACATCTCTTAATAACTCGAAAGACCGACTTTCTATAAACCTCGGCATGGATAGTTGATATATTTATTTATGTGGTCTTATAAACTGATCTTCTTAAACTGACGCGAGGTTGGTACAGATCTTCGTTGTCGTTGTCGTTGTTTTTGATGTTATTGATCGATGGCTGACGTATCGGCGACTTCGCCTTCCTCAGAGCCTGGACATACTTTAGGTTAGAATACTTCTTATTATTCGGAGGAAATGAAGGTTAAAGTATTAATGAAGATCAAACTTTCAAACAGACGCCATATTGAACAAAAAGGCCACTCACCCTGATGTTACGTGCGTGACTGGCCCACACGTGGTTCACGTGGAGTCGCGAGCAAGGCACGCCCAGGGGTCAAAATATCATCTTGAAATAGGGTGTCAGGTCACGCGTGATAGTGAGGCATTCGTCCTTCCGGCTGGTTCATCTCTGGATTTTTGAAATTTATCCAAAACGTCTCAAGAGTTTTTCGCGTTGATGTTTTTGATTCCCGCGCTAGGATCCGCATATTCACTTCAGAATCATCGCCGTTGTGCTTTTGTGCCCTATGCGTACCTAGAGGGGTGTTTAAA